GTCTACTGATGAATTACAGATTCTACACGTAAACAGTTTTCGCAAAAAAATTAAATTTTTCTTTCGACAATTTTTATATTTTTTGTTATAATACTTTTTATTATATTATCTGGGAGAAAGAAAGAAGAACATTTTGCTGTAAACAATTACACACAGTCACGGTGTGTTCATAAAAGTGCACAGGCGTATTTAGGCAAGTTAAAACATTTCTAAACAAAAAACTATAAACTTTTATTCTTTTTTTATTCTGTTACTTTATCGCCTTAATCCAATGCTATCTTAAATTATTCCGAAACAATATATCCAAAAATAACAAAATTAAACCGCCAATGATACGCACGAAATTAAACTATCATACTTTGTTCGTCTAGTAAACAACCGAAATGAAAACTGGGAGATTGAACCGAATACGACTCTGTTATGAGGCGAGTGTGCCGAACTCGAGTTATAATCTAAATTAGCTAGAGAGGGAAATATTTCTAATTAACTTCCACTCCTTAATACGGTGACCGCTTTAGTTCTGTAATAAACACGAATCGGTTATCTAGAATTACCCCGAATCCCAAACTTTCCACTGAAATCAATGGTTGCGTCAACAAGGGCAACTTTATTATGTTGGAGAAGTCTTTAGATTAGCGCGGAATTATTAAAATATACTACGCCCAAGTTTATGGGCAAAGTTTGAAGGGAAAAGCAGTGGTCGGGCCGAGGGCCATTATTGAAAATCGTTTTTAGAAGGCTGTATGCATTTTGACTTATAGAAGTCGTAAAACTTCGTCTCGGCATCTGCTGAGGCAGATTTACTTTGCCTCGCACAATTTTTACAAGTTCTTAGTCTCATGAAATAATTTTGTGTATTATCTGCATGGAAATTATATATGTATTGTCAGCCATAGTTTCGTTTCTAGATTTGTCAGTTCCCAGCTTAAGTATTTCCTATGGTGTCACATGCGTGCAACTGATAAAATCGTGTTATTGTTTTCACATTTAAAAATGATCTTTCAACGTCGGAAAAGTAATTCAAGCTCTTTGAAAAAAATTACATAGTATGAATTTTGGGCTAGGAAATATTGATGGTAAAAGTAGTCACATTCACAGACGACATATTTATGTGGAACACATATTATCTACAGGAAATTAAAAAATATCAATAGCAAAGGAGAAAAAATTATTATCTGGACGAAACATGGGTCAACATGCAGTGAAGAGGGTATGGGAAGCAGGAAACGTAAGAAATACACGACAAACAGCGATATGAAGTTGATTTAGTGGTATAAGAACGCTATTTAGTAAGGGTGACTTTGATAGTAACATTTATAGGAACTAATTTCGAATTTCTTAAAAATGGTGACTGTATCTAGACCATTTACCATATACTGATTATTTCTAACCTTTTCTAAAAAAGCACCCATGCCTTTGCATAATGACGAATCCATAACAGTTGACGTGTATGACTGTCAATTGTTATCCAAGGCACTTTGTCCAGTTTCAAATAATCGAAACAGGTTACTATTAACTTATTCTTTTTTAATAATTTCGCTTATAAAAAGCGACGGATGTCCTCTTTGAGCGGAATAGGAATAAAATATGGATTTATTACAGGCCATCCTCCCAGGCACCGAATTTAATTTGTTTCGTCTTGACTGGGGAGCCAGTCATTTGTCAAAACAGCAGCTTGCTTCCTGACATTAATGCCTTCCAATTAGATAGAAATTAATATATCGTATGTCGACAAGTATAACTCCATCAGTTTCCACCAAGTACGGCTGGAAAGCCCTCGAAAATATACGACCCAAAGTCCCTAGATTGTCCCAAAATGACGGTTTGACAACTGTCAATTCCAAATATTTCACCACATATTAAATATTAAATATAATTTTTATAATTTAACTTCTCGTTATAATAAAAGACCATAATAATTTATTGTCTATCATTTCATATATTGACGGATGCCAAAAAGAGCGTGTTTATTGCATCTTATAAAAATATATAGAAGATTCAGTTTTACAATTTAATGTTCGTAATAGAGATTTTGCACCAAGATGACCGGATATTGCGTTATTTTGTCAATCTAGGGACTTTAGTACGATGTTAACTGCAACGCTCTCTTCAAAATAAATAATCCTAGTTTCCAAATATTTTCAATGATAAAAATTATTTGCGATTTTTGACCGCAGCAAATTTCTTGAAACCGGTCCTGTACAAAATATTATCAAACAAAACTGTCCTGTACGTATTAGACTTTATTCGCAATTAAAATATTCATGTGGGCCAGTTCGCCTGCACCCCCACTTGTACGGACTGTATTCATGAAATTTTGACAGGGTGGTTTAAGTTACAACGGTTGTGTGTAATGTTTAATACGGGGTTTCCCAGAATTTCCAACGAGGATTTAAGTGGTCTTTATACCGGCTGGCAAGTTAAGTCCTTGCATGAAAGGGTAAGTTTGCGCATTTGGGGGATGCTTTGGCGGATGCCATTCCGAATGGTGGATTTTCAATAATTTGAGGGTTGCTTTCGGTGTGCAGCAAAATAAAACTCTCTCTCAACGGTAAAAATGAAAGTATTTTAATTGAAAATACAGTTAGTAAAACAGAAGTGTTGTCGGAGCGAGCGTTCGCTGGAGAGTCGTCTTGATGTGGAGTCACTCACAGGTATAAGTATCTGGTCCTTGGAGCCAATCTGCCGTGGTCCTCTTCCGGGATCCATATTTCGTGTTGCACATTGTTTCTTGTTGCTTGCAACGCTCTTGACGTAATACTTAAAATGGGTCAATTGCAGACATGTGTACCCACAAATTATTTCGAATTTTCAATTCAGTTAATAAAGAAAATTTTATCTTCATTTGTTATTGAGTCATCCTGTAAGAACATTATAAATCCTGCGATTTTAACTTGATTTATTTGAAATTGTAAAGTTTGATGAACTGTATTTTTTAAGCAAAAAAGGCCGTGTTCATTCAAATCCAGCTACGTCAGATTTTATAAGATTTTAATAATTTTTGTAGTTTTTTTTAGAAAAAAATCTGTACACGCTATTGGATTCAAGACTCCTTAAAACAAACCTGAACTAAATAATATTACAAACTTTTAAATAATACCGATTTTGTAGCCAAATTAATAATGCGCGTTACCTACTTTTTTCATAAATTTATTCAGTGTTTGTCTATGAAAAAAAATAATAAATAAATGAAATTAAACTTTGACATGGTATTACCATGCTTGTACCTAGTTTTGACAGATTCATAAAGAATAAAAGAAAATTGAAAAAAGAGGATTCCTTTACAGAAACTACAACGTTCTTGCCACTTATACTAATCCACCATTTAGTTCAATATACTTCTCAATCCTTTTAGTATGTTCATAGCTTCCTTTCGTGTTTGTTCTGGGGTAATATTTGCGCATAGTTGTATTATCTTAGTTTGTAGTTCTTGTATAATTTATAACCCTGATTTGTAAGCTTTTTACTTCAAAACTTCAAAGAAAAAACCTAGTGGCGTCAAGTCTGAAGACCTGTTTCGTCCTCTCCAATTTCATGGCCATTTAGCAACTCTCTTACCAAAATAGCGTTTTGAATAGAACTACCATCCAATCTTCTTCATATATCGGGTATTTTGCCACCGTGAACAAAATTTAAGAAAATTATTAAATAGACCCTTGCGCCAAGCAAAAGAATCAGTCGATGATTACATAGGCCGACAAAATTTGTCCCACCCTCTAACCCAGAAACCAGAATGTACTATTCCGAAGGATTTTGGTGCGCAATTCCGAGGTCCAAATTTCTCAATTGGCTCTGGTTTTCCAGATATCCTAACCTAAAAGTGCCAAAATCGCGATTTTTTTACATATTTGAGGTTATGTTACCTGAATAGGTAATTTTTTGGTGAAACCATCAATGGTGTGTTAAAGTACTAGGTATACCTACTTATTCTTTAAAACTCACGATATTTTTCGTCTTTGAGAAATCTCGTGTTGAAATTTAGTAGTTTGACTTATTTCTCTATTTTTGAATATAATAACAACACAGCACCACAAACCTAAATTCATCGGCACCTTAATAAAACTTCATCCTATTTAGATAGTTTCTCTGCAGCCAATAACAACTTCTAATTGTCTTTCTTCTTCCCCCAGTTCCAAAGCATGCAAAATTCTTGGCTTCATAGCCTATAATTGTATTTAAACTAGCCATTCTAATTCTAGTTTGGTCATTTGGTCATTATTTCTCAAAACTCGCTAATAATCGCTAATATAAATTATTAAAATTTTACTTCTAAAAACTGCTGTAACATCGCTTGAATTTTGTCTGAATGTGACATTTTTGATAAAAAAACTGCAGTTCATCAAGCTCTAAGGTTAAAAAAATGGGATTAAAATCGCGCAATTAATAAATTGTTTACAGGGTGACTCAGGTATTTCATTAATAATAATTCAACAGGAAGTGCATATGACCCTGTACATTTGTAACTAAAAAACTGGGACGACCATATGATAACGTCCACGAAACTGAATGAATTGTTGTCAATCGGTACCATATCTGGCGCGACATAGCACACATAGATTAGGATCGCCCTTCACTTTCAACATGGAACCGACAAAGACAGTTGCAGTGCTATTCAAGGCGACTATTTCCTTATCCTAATGTCAATGCTCGTAAACGGCTATCAGATCTATCTTTTCCGCATGGCGCTACCAAATCCGGAAAAGGCGTTAGAAGTCAACAAACTGTTGCCTAATTCTACAAACGGCGTACCTGCCTAAACGTTATTTGCATATATCATTAGATTCGTGGTGATGCACATTGAATAATTTTTGTAACATCCTCTACGCAAATAGAGATCGGTATCTTTTGTAGAGGAATACTTATGCTGCTAGCGTACTAGAGTAATTTACAGTAACTGTCTACTGTCTTAATGAGGCTTGTAAATATGACTTTTTTTTTAAATTTGCTAATAAAGCAAATAATTAGTAAATAAATTGAGCATTAATAATTATTTTTCTTGCAGATTGTTGCGGTTACACCTTTTGATAGATGACAGTTGTTAAAACACTGATATAAACAGTGAGGTGCAGGTGAGTTCTGCATAATTTTTAGTCATAGTTCTATACAGTGTGTTAAAAGTTTGACTGCCATAATTTTACTAGGTGACTGTATACATCAATGTAACAAAAAATATGTGACATGGATCCTAAGCATAATAATTTTTGAGAATATCTTAAATTGCAATGTTAATCTAATCTAGTTTTGTTATTCATCGATAAATTTGACATCGGGCAATATGGCAACAGCGCAACGGAATGACAGTTCTTTGCTGACATTTTGAACACATCAATACAAAATTACCGTAAGTCAAAAAGCAATGAACTGAGATAACGAAGGTTAAGACTGTTACAATAAAGGAAATTTTAAAAAAATAATAAATATAATAAAAATCTTTTGGTGCAGTCTCAATTTAGAGTCATATTAGTCACATTAGTAGTTGTAAATACTGAATAGTATAGGTTTAATATAATAAAACATAAAACCAATGTTTTATTGCAATAAAAAGTTTCTGTTCCAAAATTATTCAAATTTAATCCTTGTAAGAGTATCTTCATACTCTTAAGAAATTTATTATTTCTACTATTTATCTATTCGAAAATAAAGTGCAAAACAATGAATTGTTTAATTTACTAAATTTATTTAAAATCTTCGCAGTAATTTTTAACATTTGGATCTTCATAATTTTTTATAAAAGGTCTGAAGCTCACTAAACAAAATCGTCAAAAATTGATTTTTTTTTAAATTTTTTTCTCGTTATTTTATCATTTTCTAGGAGGAAAAAAATCTCGATTCTGAAAATTTCAAATCGATGTTTTAATTTCCAAAGGTCACTCATAATTATTTTAACTTTCAAAGTAGTGTACATACCTATGTTTTCGAGCGACCTTACAAATAAATATCAACGAACTAATATTTTTTTTTTATTGAATTTAATGAACAGAAGATAGAAATAAATTACGAGACACTTCCTCCTCGAGGATTTTTTAAGTGTCGTAATTTATTTCTATTCTTTTGTTTTGTTCATCAAATTCAATAAAAAAAAATTATTAGTACGTTGATATTTATGTTTAGAGGTCACTCGCAAACATTTTTGGTACGCTACTTTTAAAGTTAAAATAATTATGAGTAACCTTTAGAAATTAAAATATTGATTTGAAATTTTCAGAACCTAGAAAATAATAAAATAACGAGAAAAAAAAATAAAAAAAAAATCAATTTTTGACGATTTTGGAAAAAATTTCATAATTTGTCAAAATACATAAGATTGTTATATATGCGCTGTGACGCAAAGTATAAATACTTCATTGTTTATATGCTGCTGTATTTTTTACTTCTTGTATTAATAATTTATCGTACTTTATAAATAAAAAATATTTCAAAAACCATACTTCATTTGAAAATTTTCTATTTTATCTTATTATTTCAAATTGAATTACACAAACAAACAAAAGTTGAATGTAATCCATTTAAAATTACTAATTTGTGTATTCATACGTTTATTTAAATTTCCCGCCACCTATCTACATTCATACTTTATTGCGCTGTTGCCGTTACTCCTTCGCGTTTTTACTTGGCGGACGACAACTCACAACTTTTTATGTTTGATAATTTATTTCTCTGTCAATTATGCGGTAACCTACCTTTTTTCTTCTCTCATCTATTAATTAATGATTTAAGTAAATGTTTATATTTTTTTCTTTTTACCATTTGTACATATTTTTTCACCCGTAATTCGATTGTAAGGGCATGGATCATAGAATTTCCCATAATAACCTATGTTAAATATACAAATTTTTGGCATTAATTAAAAACAAAAACAAATCTATAAATAATTCGAGAATATGATTTCGCATTGCAATACTCCAGATCCTCCTTATTCAGTCTTATACTGTAATGGCAGTGTGACTTATAACACCCTGTGTATTATTATAATTTGCACGGTATTGAATTTAAATTTAAATTTGCAAGGAAATAGACCACATTCCTTACGACGACGTCGTCTGGCACAGTAAGATGCTCCTTTATTTATAAGCTTAACAATTCCACATTATGTCGAAGTGGATGGTGTTCAAATTGTAGGACAAAAGTAGGATTATCCTGCTCTGCAGTAATTCAACGCGCCCAGCATAAATTCACCAGTATTCAGTTATAACATAAAGAGATGATTAGTTTAATTGATTAACCTGGTTTGGTAATTATAAACTCTTGCTATGTCATACACGGCGAATTATCGACGCAATAATCCCGAACATATTACAGTTAAATAAGCTATTTAATCCGAGCTCCAATTTTAGAGCCGTAATGAATGGCTATTTATGCGGAGTTTGGTCTGGCGTGGTATGGATGTGAAATATAGGTACGAGTATCGGAACAGGAAAAACTAGTTTTTGTCGCGTTGGGGATAAATTGGGCTGTCATTTGGGAATGGAGAATTTTTCAGGCTGACAAGGTGACGGTCAATTCGGCAAATACCAAGTTTTTGTGGGGAGGTGTGTAAAAATGCGTAAAAAATGCCTGTAAATGAGCAGGTGGCATGTACCAAGTATCAACGCTATTATGTGATTTTTAGTTTACCCTGTACCTTCCAATCTACCTTCAGATAAGTTATGAGACCCCAAGGTCATGCCACGAAGTGATGTATACAGGGTGAGTCAGTTTTTTGTAGACTAACTTTAACAGGAGATAGAACACATGTTTTTAAAAAGAAAAGTTCCTAGAAACATATTATGTCGTAGAAGGCTTCGTTTCCGAGATACAGTGTGTTGAATAAAATTTTTTTTTCTCGAATTTTTATTATAACTTATAAACGAATGCTTATATTTTTTTCATGTTTGGGAGATAATGCCTATTAATTAAGGGGCATAAAACAAGCGATAAGAATGTTTAAAAACTTGCACAGTGGCGGAGTGGAGGGGGAGCTCAACCCCTTTCTTAAACAGAACTTCTACGCCAATGACTATTTTTTAAAAAAACTGTTATTTTCATTATCTACATACAGTTTAACAAAAATAATGTCCCTTCTTCTGTTTCGAAATTCCTGTGAATTTCCGAGTTATTTTGATTTTTAGTGTTTGTTGTGGTACTAAATTAAGTAATTTATTTATTATCAATTATCGGCTAAATATTTAATTCTTTCAACGAAACCTACTTAAATATGGTTTGTTAAGGATTCTAAAAAGCCGAAATCTCTTATTCTTTATCTCTTTCCAATGTAGTCAAAATAAATATTTGTTTTATCAAGCTATACTCAAATACAAAACTTTTATCAGTTGAAATCTGTTACATTACATACATACAATACATTATTGTGCAGTTGCCAAAAAGTTTTAAGAAGTTTGTTCTAAATTCAAAAAATTTCTCCATAAATATTAACATCAATGTTTTTTTTTTTTTGTAATTTAGTTGCAGTACATTAGTATTTACGCAGGACATAATAAATAAGGATTGTTAAAATTAGTATACTAAACAGATTTCAACTTATAAAAGTCTTATATTTGAGTATGGCTTGATATAACAAATATTTATTTTGACTGCATTGGAAAGAGATGAAGAAAAAGAGATTTCGGCTTTTTAGAATCCTTAACAAACCATATTTAGGTAGGTTTCGTTGAAAGAATTAAATATTTAGCCGCTAATTGATAATAAATAAATTAATTTAGTACCACATCAAACACTAAAAATCAAAATAACTTGGAAACGCACAGGAATTTCGAAACAGAAGAAGGGACATTATTTTTGTTAAACTGTATGTAGATAACGAAAATAACAGTTTTTTTAACAAAAAAGTCATTGCCGTAGAAGTTCTGATTAAGAAAGGGGTTGAGCACCCCCTCCACTCCGTCACTGTGCAAGTTTTTGAACATTCTTATCGCTTGTTTTATGCTTCTTAATTAATAGGCATTATCTTCCAAACATGAAAAGAATCTAATAATTCGTTTATAAATTATAATGAAAATTCGAGAAAAAAAATATTCAACACCCTCTATCTCGAAAACGAAGCCTTCTACGACATATGTTTATAGGAACTTTTCTTTTTAAAAACATGTGTTCTATCTCCTGTTAAAGTTTGTCTACAAAAAACTGACTTACCCTGTATAAATTGCATAGCGTCAATGTAAATTTCAATTTAGATTTGTAACTTTGGAGTTCCTCTGTGTCCTGTGTCATAGGAATTGTTCTTGTTTTTTTTTTACTGTTGTAACTCAAATGTACCAATCAGAACAGTATACAAGTATATGTTTCAAAAAAAGATACAGTGTGTTGAAGTTGTTACTTTCCAAATGGTTTTCCTTAATTATCTAAAAATGTCAAAATTTGTACTCGAGTAAACATCAATTATGCGTTAAGAATAATGTGCAAACGGTTTCATTCTGAAAAGCAGTGTCGCCGATACAGGTAATTGGAAGGGTACAATCGAAAAAAAAATATGTTAAAAGTTAAAATTTATAAATTTAGTTATTGTGTTTAAGTAGCTTATGTTAATAAACTTGATAATTAAATTTTCGAAAGTCAATGTTTAATCATGATACAAAAACAACAACCTAATTTCTTCGAAAACGGCTAATTTTATCGAAACAGATGTAGAGTACCTTTTTTAAAGAGGAATGAGGAAAGTATTTAAAAATGCAGTTTTTTGCTTTATAAAATGACACCTGTCAAAATTTTGGCCCAACGATTGTGGTGGCAAGTTCATTCATGACTTCTCTGAAGGTGTAAAACATTTACTGTAACATGGTTTTATGAGCCATTATGGCCAACATAAAATATTAAAATTTCATTAAATTATAGATACACGTCGGTTCAAAAGTTAAAGCTGAAAAGGTAAATAGCTGGGTACCCTTGTATCTCTTTTAAGGGGCACTTTAGGATTTTATTATATGACAAACTAGTGTTATTTTGACCTTCCCTATACACTCCCAAGAGTATGCCATATACTTATCAGACACCCTGTATTACACAAATTTTGCTGCTACGACTTGGATTAATCCAAATTATCGATTCTTTACAATTTATTTTTAACACTCTCGAA